CAACTTAATTGTCCTTAATTTTCAGTTTCTTCAATAGGATGTCATCACTCCCTTGTCTCCTCCCCACTGGTCCAAGGCTCAGGCGCCTCCTGGTGGCCAACCAGCCTCTCTGCACCCTGCTTGGGGTCCTCCACATCCTCCAAAGCCGACTCATAGGGCCCCTCGCTGTCGGAGTCTGGTGGCAGCTCCAATGGCTCCTGCTGGGCCACAACACCTTACCTTGACTATTTCACCTTACATTACCATTTCTACTTTGTTATTCACCAAACTGAGAACTGGTTTGATATATGTAAGAAGCTTAGTATTTATGGTTAGACAAATGTATGATCAGATAACAAGATATTCATTTATAGAACAAAACTGGTGTGTTAAAAAATGTTGGGTACATTCTATCATATTCACAGGAAACCTTTGCAAGGGAGCAGCACTGAAATAGGAAGGAGATTTTGTACACACATACAGAAACACACACACTCTAGCAATCAAGAAAGGATATTTTATGATTTATTATCTATAGATGTCTCCACAGATGAATAATAGTACCGTAATTTGTTCTTTATATGTGTATCTTTATGCATAGTTAAAATAAAAATATAACAAAAAGTTGGTGTCCATAAAAAGTAAGACGGAAAATGGAGAATGAAGGATTAAAAAATGTTTTCATATTTTTATAACATGTTTTTTTTTAATAGTTGGACAAATCTTTAGAAGAAGTCACAATGCAGCTTCAGGACACACCTGAAAAAACAACATATATTAAACAAAACCACTATCAGGAGCTCAATGATATTCTCAGTATACGCAATTTTACAGAAAGCAAAGGTATGGAATGTATAAAGCCCAATAAAGATTTGGTTATATAAAAGGCATTGGTCCCATGTGTCCCTTGTGGTAAAAGAGAACAAGAGCCAGTACTATGCTATGATGGCATTATTTTGCATAATAAACGTCAGTGAAATTTTGTGGGTAACCGTATTAATACAGTTTTACCCAGGCAGCCTAGAAAGGCAATAGTACAGAGATTTTTTAAATCTTGATCTCTTTCCCATTCTTGGAACATAATCCACATTGATCTGCATAACTCGGTTCTAATCTTCTATTTTATTAGTCACCATTCTAAAGTGACCATACATTGCTCCCTAATCCTGTTCCTGATCTAATATGAAAAGGAGAAAGGAATGAGACCAAACACTTCATTCCTTTCCTATATAACACAAAGGAATGAATTTGTGAATTAAAATAAGGAGAACTTTAATAAACCTAACTTCATTACTGGGGCAATGAGATTCGATGTTTTCATTTATGGAGATTCTCAATCATCCAGATCATGGTTGTCCAAAAGATGCTTTTCAAAAGGGAAATATACTTTCTTGGTTTTTAAATATTTCGCTTCTCATCCAAGAAGTTTCTTCAGTTCAATCAACTGAGTTTATTTACAATTCTAATTTTAGACTGCTAAGTGCGTGCATGGTTGTGTGTGTGTGTGTGTTATAAATGCTAGTGTTGGGGAACAAATTTCTTCTTTCTTATATAATTTGTTTCAATCTGAATAAGAAATATTAGTATTTTGTAATACCTCCAAAATTATTGTTGTCCAATTGGAGATAGATTTTAGATCAAATGAATCATTTTGAGAAACAATATTGCAGTTTGTAAAATAATTACAAAATTGTTTTGCAAATAATGTACTGTGTAGGAAAAATGCGTCACAATGCTCCTTAAATAAAAGTCTGAAAATATTTTTTTTTGGTCCAGATGGTGAGAAAACAGTGTTGAAAAATCACCTTGATCAAAACCCACAAGCACAATGGAATACTACAGAGTCATCCAGAGCAAGCAAAGATTTTATAGAAGATATCAACTCCCCAGAACAGTAAGTAAAGTAATTCTTTCTTGCTAGATGTTCGCAAGAATTAAAAGTATCTTAATTTTAAATCTGTATAGCGATTATGCAAAACATGTGCCTCAAAAATTCTTTGAGACAAAGATAAAAAGAAAGGCCTACAAGTCTTTGATACTTCCAGAGAAGAAAAAGATTTTACTCCATGAAAATAAGCTGGAAGGAGTGACTTAAACTATGAATTAACTAGAATCAGGGTGCATTTTTCTGTTTGATATGTGGAACTGAAAGTTTTAACCCAGAATTTGAAAATGTGTTTTTTACATATATTTATGCTTACATAACTCTTAAACTGGGCAAAAGCTATTGAAAATGTATTTGAGAGTACCTGTATTAAGAGAAGGTTAAAGAAAATGATGTATTAGTTTAAAGAAAAACTCTGCATGTTAAAAAGGATTTTTATTTAAAAAAATACTCTGTAAGGGTAATTTGAAGGGAGGGCACTAAATGCAATATTGAAGTTTAATGCCTGTATGTTAAGAAGTCAAAGAATAAGACGTATTAGAAAGTTTTGATTTTTTTAAAGTGATTTTTTCTGTGTGTTTTTAAAAAGTTTAGTACTTTGAAGGAAAGACGAGGTTGAAAAGAAAAGAAAGGTTTTTTCCCCCCTCTATTTTTTCAGTAAGGCCAAAGAACTTGAAAGAATACAATAGATTTTGTAAATAAAATTGGTGACAGCTCACAAAGATTACTAAGTGGAAATAGAAATACACATTATTTCCACAGCAAGGAAAATAAAGCAGGAATGGTTAGCTTGATTACCTTGTTTAAAGAGGAAAATATGTTCTTATTTGGATATCACTTCTGGAATTTGTGCTTGTGAAGAAAAAAAAATGAAACTTTGATCTTGGTTTTGTTGATTAGAAAGATTTGGTGTTATAGAAATGGTTAGTTATATATTAATGTGTAAAAGCAAAAAGTTGAGGCTTGAGTGTGTTTATCTTGTACGGTGCTGGGAAGAGTTGGAAGTCAACTCCCCCTTTCTTTCTCTTTCTCTTTCCCCCTTGTATCTCACACCCCCTTTCCCTAGTGGTGGGATGCAACCAGTTTAACAACCAGTTTGGTGAGTGTGCGTGCCTTTGCACGCACGTGCAGCGTTCAAAAACCGCCCATTTTAAGCTTGAAATTTTTACCTTTTATGACAGTGCAGGTGAGTAAAATCGCTGCTGCGCGGCAATCCGCTGTGCTGCGCGAAGCAGTTGAGCTAAAAACCCGGGAACTGTAGGACAGGAAAGAGCAGGGGCGGGTGCGCCAATTGCTCACTGGAACTACCAGTTCGCCTGAACCTGTCCAAATCGGCTGAATGCCACGACCGCCTTTCCTCCATTCCCTTTCCCTCCCTTCATTTCCTATTTCCTTTTTTTCTTTGCATTTTATATAATAAAAAATAAATAAAAATGTTATAAGTAAAATTGCAGGCAGGCAGCAGAAGTAGCCTGCAGTATTGCGTTCTAACCACTGCGCTTCTTCATCTACCACGGATGTTCTGCTCATTGTCCTCAGTTTGCCAAACCAGCTACAAATCATTTGAGGTTCTAGTATAGTTCCCTTTTCTGACCCCCTCCTCCATCCAGTAACGAAAGCCAAGACGAGCTTAACTAGAATGTACTTTAATAGCAAGACCAAAATCTCGGTGGCTGAAAGCCAAGCAAACAAACAGATAAGGACCTTGGCAGCAACTCAGACAAACCTTGGCAGCAATTCAGACAAACCTTGGCAGCAATCCAGCCTGCCAAGTTAGTTACAACTTCAGCCCTGCTTTGCTCTGATGTCAGATATAATAAATCATGGGGAAAAGGGAGTTAGCAATAGCAATAGCAGTTAGACTTATATACCGCTTAAGTTAGTTACAACAGTTCTCTTTAGTCAATGCGTTGACTTCTGCAAGAGGGCCGTGTGCACAAGCAGTCTTTTTTATAGTCTGGAGAGGAGACTAATGACCACCAGCTGAGCGCAATTACCTCTGGTAATTGCGTAATTGTTCCTGACGTCTAGTAGCTCTTTGATGGTGTGCATCCAGGAACAACTCACTANCTGTCTCCGTGCTGTTGTCGCCCTGTTGATGACATCAGCGACGCGGTTTAGTCATTCGCGGTTTAGTCGAGCGTGGTTTTGTGGTGGAACCAACATCATCAGTGCTAGCAATGATGCTAGTACTGATGATGTTACCTAGTTTGCGTAATGAAACATCTGCAAGAAAACCACCAAGCTCACAGACCACCAAGGATCCCTCATTCAACCCTGAGCTACAATGATCTTTCTTCGGTGAAGAGACCATGATGGGGGGGTGGGGGAAGCAAAAACTATTAGGGAAAGGTGGTTCTACCAATAACCAGTCTTTGAGCCATGAGAATCTTTAAGATGGTCACCAATACCTTAAATGGCACCAGAAACCAACTGGAGACCACTGCAACTTCAATAATAACGGTGTCACGGTTCACCAACAAAAGGGTGAACAACTAAACCGCGGTGACAAAACCGCGTGTTCTAAAGCGCTCCGACGAATGAGCGCTGAATTGCGTCGACAACAGTACGGCGACAGAAGCGCGCTGTAAAACTAAACCTAACCCTAACCCTAACCCTAAACGTAACACTAACCCTAAACGTAACGCTAAACCTAACCCTAACACTAAACCTAACCCTAAACGTAACGCTAAACCTAACCATAAACCTAACCCTAAACGTAACGCTAAACCTAACCCTAACCCTAACCCTAACCCTAACCCTAACCCTAACCATAAACCTAACCATAAACCTAACCCTTACCTTAAGTTAAATCGGCTTTCTGTCGACACGCTGTTGTAAAACGCCCTTCTGTCTCCACGCTGTTGTCACTGCGCTGTTGTCGGCACGTTGATGATGTCGCGGTTTTAGCGATGTGGTTTAGTCGGGCGCGGTTTTGTCGTTCGCCCTTTTGTCGTGTCACACGGTGTCACATTGTTGTGCCCATAATTACTTGCACTGTTGCATTCTGGACCCACTGTAGCTTCTGAGTGATCTTCAAGCACAGCTTCCAATGAGAAGTGAACTGAAGCATGAGTGATCATGAGTAGGGTCTACCAACCCAAGGAAGGACATGGTTGGCGCAGGAGATGATAACTTCTGGAATGCAATTTAAGCAACTACAAGTCTGGAAATTTCTATAGGACTGCTGAAATCCTAGATAATTGGAGGATATAGGTAGTCCTTGACTTGTATCCTGTTGTTGTGGCTCCACCAGTGGAGCTGGCAGCAGAGTCGGACAGTGAGGAGGTTGGGGAGGAGCATGGGCCAGTCCCGGAGGCTGGGGAAGGCTCTGATGAGGGCTCTGCATCAGAAGCAGAGATGGGGCCGAAGCCGTCTGGCAGTGATCAGGCTCCTTCGGAGCTTGACAGCAGTGAGGCAGAGGAACAGCTGCGCATGTGCAGAGCTGCCAGAAGAAAAGAACAACTCAGAAATCAGGGCAGACTTGGGACTAATGTCACAGGTGGAGGGTGATTGGCCCCCTCCCATAGAACATAAAAGAGGAGTGAAAGGGGAGTGGGCTTTTGCGGAAACTCTTCATTCATTCAGTCGTTAGATTCGTTTCAGGAGTGTGAAGATCTGTCCGTGAATCTCAGAGACTCTGTGCCCAGTCTTTCCTTGCACAGCACTTCATTTGGAAAATATTTACGTGGCAGCTTTCCAAGATAGATAAGGTCTGTAGTCCTAAATATTCCTTTGAAAGACTGTTTGCCAGGTCTTGCCGAATGTGAATGAGTGGAATTCACATTTGTTTAATAAAAGGGGTTTTGTCGGGACCAGGACTCTGCCTCATGCTTTTTGGGGAAGGACACACACTCGAATGGGGATGAAACATTTGCAACCAAATTGCCAAGCTCGGAGCTCCAACTAACCACATAACTACCAACCTGAGCTTCAAATATTCAAAGACATTGCAAAATTCCATTAAGGTAACATAAATATGATTAAAATTTACAGCAATGCATCTTTTGAGAACCTCCCTGACTTCACAAATACGCTCGTGACGTCTTACTGTAACAAACCAATCTCGGAGTTACAGTGGAGAGCTCAATGATAGCAGATTGAGAACTGTTCTGACCTGGGCTTCCCAAGAGCAGGCAGCAAACTCCTTGTCCCAACAAAAAACCCTTTTATTAATTGACTGTGAATTCTGCTCATTCACAGTTGGCAAAGTGTTTCAAGGGAGGATTTACAGTCACAGAC